CAGACCGAATGGGGCAGCGTGAATCATTCTCGGAAATCGATGTCCGAAAAATCAACAAGTTGTATAACTGTCCATTGAAGCCGGACCAAAAAACTGTGCCAACGAAAAAACCGGAACGCAAGAACATCGATGATGACTCCGACGATGAAGAATTTCCAACTCTGAAGCCAACCGGAATACCATTTAAAGTTAGATTTTTCCAGAAACAACCATTTGATGAAATCGATTCGATGTGGCAAAATTTCATTAATCGACATCAAAATTTGATCACAAGACCAAGATTTTTTTACAAACCAAGAATGCCCAAACCGCCCGAACAGCGGTTCTGGATGCCCCATGCTAGTGATGTTACGGGGAAAATGATCTCTCACGCCGGACCCAGTTATCCTAGGCCCTTCAGTCCTGAGCCTTTCGGGGGGCGATGGATTAAAATAAGGCACATAATGAACCAAAGATGACTTACGTATACCAGAGGACTCTAGATTCCTTGCCCGAGCGATCTTGGGGTCATTTAAGTGGTGTCTACGAAAACCGCTGATATGAAGTAGGATACTGTCGTGCACCCAAGTCAATGTTTAGTTTTGGACACTGTGGACACCCAAATAAGTCGGTACCCAGAATGAGGTGGAAGTAGGATTTTTCCCAATAATGTTTACTGCTCATATGCGGGCCATTAAACGCAGGATGAGCTCCTGTGTAGGCACAGGCTCTGCATACAAGCGCACAAAATGACTAAATTGCGACACCGCTGTTACGCCCTGGTAGTACAGGCGATCTCTCTATGGAATGTAGTCATACAAAAACGCAAGAACGCACCGGCTAGCTTGAAGCGTTGCAGCATGAACTGCTTTACATCTAGCTTATGTACTTAACTAGTGTAAATCATCGCAAATTTTGTATAGTGGAAGATGAACAATTTCCGCTGGAACGGTCATTCATCGAAAGTGACCTAGCTGTTCAGTGAGCAGTTTTCCCGCCAAAACTTTTACCTACCCGTATGTAAGACCACGCATATCTAGAGGCTAAATTTGAAACCTACATGTAGCATGTGGATAAGGAACGTCTCCTTAAAATTTCAGTTTTCCAGCTTTTCTGAGTTATCAATTTTCCGGCTGAAACTTTCACGTACTCGCAAGACAAGTATAGCACTCCCGGACTAACGCTTGGTCAGGGAACCCACTGGCAAAATTTCAGCTTCAAGGTTTGCTTGGATGCCGAATTGAAATACTGAGACAAGCACGTCCACAAATACACACAAACCATAGTTCATTATGCGTTTTTGCATTTGCACACTTGCAAAAGACCATAAAAACTGAGATTTTTTCTTTAATAAAAATTTCCCACTTTTTGGTCGTAGCTGTTTTTAGTTACGTGACACGTACAGTGTTGTTTTTGTTCTCTTCTGCTCGTTGTGTTGTGTCGTTGTTCTTTAAAACTTGTCTTAGGTTACGGAATTTTATTTCCAACTTTTCACATTGTAATACTTAGACTGATAGACAAATCTACTAGATTAAAACCTGAGAGTTCAGTTCTTACAGATTTTACATTTTAAGGCCTGTAGTTTAGACTGGTAATCTGAAAAGATCGCTGGAAATATCAGTAGGATCCGATACTAGTGAAATTAGTGGGATTTTCCTTCACGCCAAACGCAACTCTGTCAAAACCTTCAGATCCAAACTCTTTGCCTCCGACTCATACCTCTTTCTTCTGCCTCCCCTCCTTAATCATTTTATACCTCACTGACTAGGAATGATTTTTATAAATGATAGTTCTTAAATGAAAATAGATATTATTAACGAAGTCTTTGCCGACTAGAAGGTTAGTCCTTCATAGTTATGAGAGTTATACATACATACATACATATATATATATATATATATAATGTACATATATTTCATCGTATATATGTATATGTATA